CCCCAAAACCCCAAAACCCCAAAACCCCGCTTGATTATTAAGTAGATAAAATCGAAGGTTTAAAATTAATTTTGAAATAACTCTATTTTATAGCTATCAGTATAAATAAAATATATTGAGCTTGAGCTGCCAATATAAGATGGAATTTTAAGATTTGATTCCTTTTTATTTTCAATTGGCTGCCAAAGCTATTAAGTTCAGAGATAAGTATTACTGAAAGTGATTTATAATTTATCATCATCTTAGTTTATTTATTAAGGTCTTTGACCTTGGGTGATTACTGTTATCAACTTATTCATGAGTCCAAACGGTCTATTGAGAATAGTTAGGATTATTACTACTAAATTAATTAACTGTGTAGCAATTATGGGTTGTTGGTTGAATACTCTGATCAATAGGGACACGTTCGAAATCACAAAATCCGAAGCTAGTTTTATTTATTTATTAGCTGCGAGTTTCAGATTGAATTTCTTATTAATGGGAATTTCCAATGTCATCCTCTTATAATAGGTATTTATATAATGATTCTATTATTATATTATCATTAGTTTAATGATCATTGTTTATTTTTCTAGATTTAAATAAGGCTTTTCTTCCGCAATTATTAAATCTCTTCATGCTATTTTATTAGAATATATTGGTAACACTCCGAAACCCGTACTTTGCGAAACTAAAATTCATTTATGCATCAATCGAATCACTCTAGCGTCCATATTTTTTTATTCTCTTGTAGCAAATATGCTAATTACACACGTTATTATAAGGAGATGTTTTATTTCGTTATTTAGTTTGAGAATTGAATGGGGAAAATGGGACTCTGATTTCTTGAGATTTATTAATCTATCTCTTGAGGTGTCTCTTCTTCTGTTTCAATTGCTTTATTCTGAGGGCATAACTTCTGAACCTTTCATCAAGCTTGTCATCATCAAGATGTGTATAATCAATGGTCAATGAGTCTCGTGACTCGACAGTAATCAAATCTGAATCGGGCTTTATCTGCTATTGTATTTGATTCCCATCTTAAATCTCAGTTATTATAATTTCTTTTTCTATCATTCTAACATTACTACTCTTTGTTTGGTCGGATCGATCATACTTTGGCCATTAATTTCCTTCATCGAAACTAGGAGAAGATACTTGATCACCAGGAACTATAAGTTAAGAAATGAACAAAGTGATAGATTAGGAATACTTACAATTGGATAAAAGAGTCCTAACTGAAAATGAATTTTTATTTCTAATTTAGCAAGTGTTTTTTGGATGCATGAGTGTTTACTATAGAATAATGCTCTAATTAATGTTTAGGTTGCTTTTTTTTGAGTAGGCCTTTGAGACTAAGGGGCTTCTCTCTAGGTTAGCACGAGAGGATAATATATATAATATCAATAAATGTATTTCCTAAAAGTTTAAGTTTCTAGTCAACTTTGATCCTATAGTTTCATTCTCCATGGGGTTTTGGGGTTTTGGGGTTTTGGGGTTTTGGGG